CTATCAAGTTAGAGGAGCTTTAAAAACATCTTGGGCTTTACATATATCTGTACTAACAAATATGTCAGTAAGTTTACTCAGGTTTAATGTAATCAGCCAGTAAATAAACTGTCTGCTAAAACAAGAATCAAAACTCTTCAGAAAAAGATAATAGAATCCAGGGTCTTACAACATGTTCTTTAAAATATCCAGTATTCAATAAAAATAACAGGACATACAAAGAAACAGTAAATGTGGTCTATGGTCATGAACATGAAGTTAGTAGAAACATAATTCGATATGGCACAAATGTTGAATATAGCATATAAAGACTTTAAAGCAGCTATTGTAAATATGTTCAAAGAATTAAAGACAAATATGTTCAAAGAGTAAAGGACAATTGGGCCTAATAAGTGAACAAACAGGGAATCTCAGAAGACATGTGGAAACTAAAGATCGAATGGAAATCTTAGAGCTGAATAATATATTAACCGGAATTAAAAAAATCACTGGATGGGCTTAACAGCAGATTGAAGATGGCAGAGGAATGAATCAGTTACCTTGGAGACAGATCAACAGAAAATATACAAACTAAAGAATCAGAAAAAAGATTGAAGTAAAATAAAAAGAACATCAGAGACTTGTGGACGAGAGCAAGCAAATGGTCTAATATATGCTTTTATTTTATGAGGCTGGTGTAATCTAGATTCCAAAACTGGGAAAGGACAATAAAGAAAAGAAAATTATAGGTCCAATTATTTTACGAATATAGTTAAGTAAAATATTAGCTAACGTAATCAAAACATAATATAAATTCACAAAATAACATAGTATGGGACTACAAGGAAAGCACAGCAGCAGAAAATTCTATCAATGTAATTCACTTCATAAATAGGCTAAAGTTTATAAAGCCCATATGATTATCTCAATAATCAATATAGAAAGAGCATATGACACTGCTCAACACCTATTATTTTGTATGAATTAACATGGAACTAAACATATACAAAAGTAGAAATAATAGTATAATGAACTTCAGCATACCTGTCATCAACTTTCAGGAATTACATGGCTAATTTGTTTCATCCATACTCTCACCCAGTTTCCATCACTACCGCCTCCCACCTCCACTGGAGCTTTTGAAGCAAATCTCAAAACATCATATATCACTGATAAATACTTCAGTGCATAGGACTTTTTTAAAAGATAAGGGCTCTTTTCTTTAAAAAGAACAGGATCCCAGTTCCTTTCCATCTTGGGCTCAGCAGAATAGCTCCTACAAAAAAGTGGTGGGAAAAAGAAGGGTTCTTCTGCCATTGACCAGGAAGTGACCAGAGAATACACCATCAACATTCACAAGTGCATCATGGAGTTTCAAGAAGTGTGCCCCTGGGGCATTCAAAGAGATCCAGAAATTTGCCATGAAGGAGATGGGAACTCCGGGTGTATGCACTGACACCAGATTCAACAAAGTTGTGTAGGCTGCAAGAATAAGGAATGCCCCATACTGAATCCCAGTACAGTGGTCTAGAAAACATAATGAAGGTGAAGATTCACTGAACAAGCTCTATGCATTGGTTACCCACATACCTGTCACCACTTTCAAAAATCTATAGTTATGTGGATGAGAACTGTTGACTGTCAAATAAAGTTATAAAACTGCAAAAAAAAAAAAAAGAACAGGACCCCAGTAACATTATCATTCCTAAAAATATTTTAACAAAAATTCTTTGAAATAATCATATGTCTAATCAGCATTCAAATTTTCCCTATTGTCTCATAAATACTTTATGTTAGGTTATATCTGTTTAGTCATTTTTTTTTTAATACATAGGGTCTCCCTCCTTTTTTTTTGTTTTTTTTTTCCTTCATAATTTACTTGTTGAAGAAATCACATTGTATTTATTTTGCTGCTTGCATCACTATGGTTTTGTTTAACAAGTTAGTTACTTTGAATATTGTATTTCCTGTACATTGGTGATAGATTTGAATGCTTGGTCAGATTTAAGTTTGATTTTTGGCATGAAAGGTTGTGTTATGTACTCCTATCTGCATCACCTCAGAAGGGACATAATGTCTTATTGTCTATAATTAAGTACCTAGGAATTAAGTAGGACCTCGAAACCTTGAAACCTCTAGTAAAGGACATAGAAGGTGATTTAATAAATAGACAAATATTCTTGAATAGGATGAATTACTTCATAAATATAATGCATCAAAGTAAAAATTTCAGTTGGAGCATTTGAAGAAATTGATAAACTTACTCTAAAATAAAACAAAGCAATAAAGGATCACAAATAGCTAAATCAATCTCATAAAAAAAGAGAGACTTGCCAAATAGGGTATTAAGAAGTCCTAGTAGTAGACCAATAGAACATTGAAACAGAATAGAAAGTTTGAAGACAGAACTCTAGGTAGTTAATATATGATACAAGTGTTGCCGCAAATCAATAAAGGGGAGTATGAAACATTTAGGAGATGTTATTGGGAAATCTAGCTCACTCTCTAGAGGGAAAACAAATTGGAACCTGGATTCCTACCTAACATCATGTACAGAGATTGAGTCTTGATAGATTAAACATCAAAATGTGAAAGGTAAAACTATGAAGTTGATAGAAGAAAATATAGGAAATATTTCTCTCACCTAGGAATGGGAAAGTCTTAACATATGAGAAATACAAACACAAAACATAAAGCAAAAATGATTGCTTGATTTACATAAAAGTAAGGTATTTCTACAACTGAAATATACCCTGTATAAAGTTTATAAACAGGAGAAGATATCTGCAATGTCTAAAACTGACAAGAGATTAATAGCTAGAGTACACACAAACTCCTGTAAGAAAGACACAAACTCCAATACAAAAAAGTGGGCAAAAGATATGAGCACTTAATTTATAGTAAAGAAAGCTGAAAATCTTATAAACAAATAAAGATACGTTCAGACTCATCAGTAATCTCAGAAATTCAATAGTGAGGTGGCACTTTACATCTGTTATACTGGGGAAAACAAGAAAGCTTGAATATGCCAAGGTTGAGAAGAATGTGGGACACGGTAACCCTCAAGCTTTAGTGGTGGGAGTGTAGACTAGTGTGGCCTCTGGACAGCAACTTGGAATTATTTGGTCAAACTAAGAATACTCATACTCACTCCACAACTTAATTTCTCTTCTATTCATCACACACTTTATGAGAAATTAAAAGACCCAGCAAGCACAAACTGGGGAAGATATATGAAACATATATAATAGACAAAGAATTAATATCTAAAATATATGAAGAACTCATGTAAAGCAGGAGAAAGAAGGAGGAAACGAGGGAAGGTAGAGAGAGAGAGAGAGAGAGAGCGAGAGAGAGAGAGAGAGAGAGAGAGAGAGACTAATAGAAAAATGGACAATAGAATTACTAGGCAGTTCACAAAGAGAAAATGGAAAGACTAATAAAAGCATGAAAGGTGCTCAATCTCAATAGCAGTAAATGCAAAATAAATCCACAATGAGATACCTGGACTATATACACCCAAATATTATAAAAAATAAAAATACAAACAATACCAAATGTTGATGAGGATGTGAAAAAGGAACTCTTATACACTCTCAGTGGGATTATAAATAGGTAAAACTACTTTGGAAAATGGTGTGGCATTACCTATTAAAGTCCCACACGTGCAAAGCCTATTAAAAGTCAATCCATTCTCACTCTAGTAGTTGTATACTAGTAAACGTGTACTGGAATGTTCGTAACAACATTGTTAATAATAGTCAAAATGGAAACAGTATAAGTGACCGTAAGTGATAGAAAACATAAGTAAATACATATATATTCATATATTAGGATGCTAATAATGGAAAAATTTCCAGTTACATGGCATTAACATTGGATAAATTCCACAACATAATAGTGAGAGAAGCAAGTCACAGAAGAATATAGTGTTAATTCCATTTATATAACATCTGTAACAGGAAAGAATTAAACAATGTCTTATTTAGAAGTACATATATGAATGGCAAAGGTATTTAGAAAAGCAGAGGAATTATTGTAACAAAAGTCAGCTAAGTGGTTACTTCCAGGGCAAGAAAGGCAAAGCAATGGTTGGGGGCATTTCTGAGGTCTAGTAGTGTTCTATTTTTTAAGCTGGGAGTTACTTACGCAGGTATTCCCTTTATTGTTGCTTAAGATGGTCGTGTTTTGTACACTTCTGTATGTATAATGTATTTTTCATTTTTCACTGAAATCGTTTTTGAAACGTTTGGATTGGATAATCTCTTAGATTCTTTTCATCTTTGATCATATATGGCCTGGCCCTTCCCAACTGATTTGTTGTTGGCCCTTCATTGACAGCTCAATTTAAGCAATATAAATTGAGATGCGAACACAGATAAATTAGACAGGAAAACTGGAAGAAAGAGGGAGACGGAGACGCATTAACAACAAATCTCAGAATAAGAGACTAGGAAGAGGAACATGGTGATCTGAGTCAAGCCCCTCTTCTCAGGGCGGCAACTGGTTTTCTACTTGAGAGCTCCCGATTTCCAGTCCTGATTCTGCCTTTGATTTGGGCCAGTCTTCTCTAATCCTCAGTTTCCTCATGCTGCCTTTGTAAATTGTATAGTGAAATTCAAAAGAGAACTACATATTACTCTTTTACAGTCGGGGAAATTGCGGCCACAGAGGGACACCACTAGCCCAAGGTGCCATCGCCACGTTGGAACTCAGGGCTCTTGAGTACAACTCCCTGATCTGTGCACTGTCTCAGCACACAAACGGTTATTCTCTCCTTTGCCCGTAGTTTGATGTCACAGAAGAACTGCCCCGCCCTCACCCCACACTTCGGAAGCCCCGCCTCCTCGCGCGGCCCCTCCCCTCCAAGTCATCGTCGAGCCCCGCCCCCAGCCGCTCGTCCTTGCGTGGCGGCTCGGGCGCGTACCCGCCCCACCTCTCTTCCGGCCCCGCCCCTCCTGGCTGCCATGACAACGAGTCCGCGCCCCGCGCACAGCTGCTGCTCGGGCGGGACCCAGGCTGGACCGCGGGCCCCGGCCTGGGGGCCACAGCTGCCACCGCCGCCGCCACCTCGTTTCCTCCCTGACCCCTCCCCGTCCCGCGTCTCCTCGCCTCACTCGGGTCCGCGGCCGGGGTCCCTCCCCGCCGCCCCACCCCGCGCGGATGCCGAAGGTGAAGGCGCTGCAATGCGCCCTGGCGCTGGAGATCCGCTCTGTGAGTACCGGTCGCGCTCCCAGCCCCCGTCACCTGGGTGTCAGTAAGGCCCCGGAATTTACTCGGGACGCCTCTTGTTAACTTCCGAGAACCCCGAGTCACCTCAAAACCTCCTTCACCCTCCAAATCATCCTTAGGAAGACTAGCTCCCTCGTCACTTCGGTCTTCCCCATCTAAAACCCATGAGCGCTCTCCCATTCCAGCCACGCTGAGGTCCGACCCCCTGCCTCAGCCTCAACTCTCCTGGCTTCATCCCAACTCCCCGTTGGGATTCCTTCAGATCATTTCCAAAGCGCTTTAGAGACCCTATTCCCGCCCACAACTTTCCAATAAGTTTTCTTTTCTTTCTTTCTTCCTTTTTTTGGGGGTGGGGGTGGGGGGCGGGGAGGACTTCTGTTTAAATTCCTCTTTTCTCCCCCTGGTCTTTTAGTGAGAGAGTACCACTGGCCCCGCTTCTCTCCAGTCTTGGGGTGGAGGGGAAAGAAGTGTTTCTTCCTAAATCATTGCAGATGGACTTTTTCAATTTTCCAAGCTTCTGATTTGGGCCTTTACTCTCAGTTTTCAATGTAGAATCCCCACACCCAACAACTGCAGTGTGTCATCATTGCACAAAGCATCTTGCCACCAACCCCTTCCCCCCCACTCCCGGAGCCAAACCCATAGAAATCATTCCAGGCCCCTCCAAATCCCTAAACCCTCCCGACGTTGAGAGAGACCACTTATCCTTCCTGTCGCTCTAAAGAGGCACCAACTTTTAAAGGGAAACTACTCGTTCTCTGAAGTCTCTCTGGAGGACCTGCATCCCCACCCAGGCGTTCTGAAGAGGCTCCTTTTCCCCCAACCTGCTGTGCAGATCCAGCCCAGGTAGAGAACTTCAAGTCCTTTCCTAGGTGAGGGTGCTTGGACCTCTCCATGCTATGAGAAAACTTCCCCTTCATTGTTTAGAGAACCCCCTTATTCTCTTCAGATGAGAAAGTTCCAGCTTCTGTAAATCCCCCAAAAGCCGTTCCATACCCCCAGTTTAGATTTGCAAGCAGTTTGGAACCAGACTCCCTCCTTCAGCCCTTTTTTTCCCTCCCACCTCTCTAAGTCTTATCTCTCAACTGAGTCTTTGATCTAGCAAAAATTTAAGTGCCCAACACTACTGCACCAAGCCAGCCCTCCCACTTCCTTCCTGCGAACCCTGCAGGCAAAGCTCCCTCTCCCCTTTCCCGGCTGTCCCTCTCACATTAGAATGAGTCTGCTGCAACACAGTCCATGAAACATCTAGGGAATTCATAAGACTATTTTAGAGGGAAGGTCGAGTAGGGCAGAGTGTGTGGCAGGGGTGGAGGAGATGAGTTTTTGGCACTCACCGTTTGCCTTGAAGACAGCAGAGATTTTTCTCTTTGCTGTATTGGCAGTTCTGTATCGCTAGCTCGGGATGTTTTCTCCCACAACTGTCAAAGTTTGGTAACTTTTTTGTATAGTAAGATGTTCAGCAAAAGAACATGAACCTT